ATATAGTATACTATAATATAATTCAAAAATATAATATAGTATAACATACCAGAATATAACATATCATAATATAACACAACATAACACTACATAACAAAACATAACAAAACATAACATAACATATTATAGAGATATTATCTATCAGTCAGTCTATCAATTTATTATATCTGTGTTGTTTCCCTCTATCTTGCTTCAGCTTAGAACTAAGTAACAGTGACTGTATTCATTTTCTTCTTTGTGCGAGCGAAATAAGTATCTTTAAACTCATGTTGTGCTTAATGGTGTTAAAACTGATCGCTTTAAACGTTTCATAAAGTTGTTAACTTTAGCAGGATGATGATAAAAAGAAAGACGAGTGGGCTGATATGATAGACACATGATACAATGAACTCCTCTTGTTTCCTAGTTGTTTGTTGGCGGAAAATACATGTACCTTACATATACACGCATACAAGCAAACATACACCCCCCCCCCCCCTTGCACACTGAGAGAGAGACCCACTCATTCACACGCATACCGCATACACAAAAATTGTCCAGTTCAGGATGAAACTATCCAGCGGTGTGTTTGATAGATTTTCTACATTTTTGTGAAGGGAGAAGACACGGTTGAAGCCGTTTTATTTTCGTATGCATAGGGAATTTTAAGTACTTTGTGAAACGCAAAAGCATTGTAATTTGGGTTCATCTCTGTCAAAGTAAGGGTAGAAACGATCTCACGTGTGATGCAAAAAGTTAGTAAAAAAAATACATGTGAATCCATGTTCATCTATTATTCCAGAACTTAGAGTCTATACTCCTGGAGAGAAATCGTTAATTGAATTCCTGCAAGTTTCGAGAAAAAGCTAAAATTGTTCACTGGATTTCGAAACGACAACTGAAACTTTCCAGATCCTGCGATTTGCACTAGGATGTGATAATTTCTTTCGGAGATTAAGGATTTGGTTTATATATTTTCTTTTTTGCACTCTCAGGCGGAAAGGAATGGAAACAGGAGCTTTGTGATTAGCATTCTATTATTTTCTGTGAGGATATCATGTTCCTGCGACAATTCCAGTGGCGGGTCGAGTGCTTGTATCCGAGATAGTCTGGATTTACCATGAAGCTGGCAGGTCCAGGGGCGCCGCTTACGTCATTGTGCTCCTTGACCACGGTGACGTCATTCTTGGCGGTACTGGTCAACATAGCGATGGTGGGCACAACAAGTGGTCAGCACCACCACGACATACGTCACAGCAGACACTACCTGAAACATCCACCGCATAGGTTCCATGGTAAGTAACACAGCTTGCTTTACGTTCGTCTTGCCATGCTCTTTTTAACATAATTACTTACTGTGTCCTTATCTTATGCAAGATCCCTGACATTTAGTCTTGCTGTCACCCGTCTTGTTTCAGGGTTGTTTTGTTTTCTTTGGTTTGGGGTTTGTTTAGGTTTGTTTGGATTTTTTGAGTCTCACTATTTGGGGGGGAGGGGGTATGTTTTGTTTTATCAGGTCCGAAAAAAGATTGGTTTTCGTTTGATTTCACCCATTACCCAATGGTTGCCTGGTTCGTGATTCTCTGCCTGCTTGTGCGCATATCTGTCTTTTAGTTCTTCTGCCCCCCCCCCCCCCCCATTTCGCTCGCTCGCCCTCGCCCTCTCTCTCTCTCTCTCTCTCTCTCTCTCTCTCTCTCTCTCTCTCTCTCTCTCTCTGTCTCTCTGTCGTTCTCTGTCTCTCTCTCTCTCTCTCTCTCTCACTCCTTCCTTCTTTTTCTCCCTCTCTCTCCTTTCTCTTTCTGTCTGTCTTGGCCTCTCCCACTCTCCATATCTCTCGGATCCCTCAATGTGTTCCAACAGTTCGATATCCGTTAGCGCCACCACAGATCTGAAGAGATAATTCTTTCATGGGGCTGTGTTACGCGTTGTTTAATGATTAAACACTACCGCTTCCTCGCAGCATTAAACATTCCCTTTCTCCTAGTAGAAATAACGATACAATTTTATGTTGCATAGCAGGTTTGTTGCAGCTTCCACTGGAAGTGGCTAGCTGAGCAAACGTCGATAGAAGATTTCAGTCTGCACTGACTTAGTGAAATTCTTACAACATAGAACCTGTGGTTGAAATAATTCGCCAATAAATTTATTTTAGGAAAAGTACAGAAAGACAAAGAGAAAAAAAAAATGTGTAACATCCGAGTGGACAATTCTTTTCCTTACACTAGTGCTTGTAGTACAATAAAAATAGGGTGAATGAATCCGTGATTAAGTTTCCCATCTAAACTTATGAATTAGGATTGCTGTAATATGTACTCTTTCCCATAGAGGAAAATGGAACCGCTAATTTTAGTTTTACGTTGTGTGAGCACTGGTTTTTATCTTTACTTAGCACTTTGAAGAGGGATCAATGTCTTAGCTCCACAGTGTAATATTGAAACAAGAGACGGGAGGACAGAGCCTGTGGGGCGTTTGTGACACCATTAGAGATCGTATGGGCAAAGAGTGTGGGAATAAATCGCTAAATCTAACAAGATTACGAGCAGAAAACCACTATCAAAAATTTCTCACAGCTAACATTAGATCATAATTTGAACTATGCAAGTAAATATTTGAGAGAAAAAAAAAACCAGAAAACATTGTATGGCTAAATATCTCACTGCTATGCGTGAGGTTGGTATGCGGAATAGCATGGTTAAGTATGGCACTCTTGAAAAGAAAATTGCTAGTTTTGCAATCTTCGCAACAAACTTGTAATGTCCCCTCTTTCACCCCTTTTTCTACATTGTCTGGAATCATTTACTGGTCACCCTGGTATCGTCTTCAAGAATGTTCCAGAGGAAGTCGGTCTGTTCAAATACATACAGTGAATACTGTCTCTTTCATGGTCAGAAAGATATTGGAGATAATCATATCAAGTGCTCCGAAACAAGTACGGAAATATTGAAATCTCGAAGTCGCCTTTGTAATCCTTTCCTACACCAAACTAAAAGGGTTTGGCGGACAAGGCTTTATGGAAGCGTCAAGGACGAGTGGCAGAATCTTTTCCTTGGGGACAAATCGAAAGCTGTGTGGCTTCTAAATACCAGATCGACATGGTTCCAAAAAGCAATTAGAGTGAGCTTTGTTAGTGGTTGCTTTTTTAATCTACTACACTAACAAGCGCAAATTAATGTGTAGCTTGATGACATTAAGAACCTCTGCGACACTCATATGGCAGAATGGCAAGCAGTACTACAATATGACAATTCAGTTTTCTATGGAGAAAAAAATACTTTAAAATGATATTGATATTCATTGAGCCTTTTTAAAGAGAGGGGAAGACGAAGGGCGAGTGGGAGAGTGGGGGAGAGGGCGAGAGAGATCGGGAAAAGTGTGAGTGAACGCGAGAGAGGGCGAGACAGAGAGACAGAGAGTGAGAGAGAGAGAGAGAGAGAGAGAGAGAGAGAGAGAGAGAGAGAGAGAGAGAGAGCGATATAGTTATTACGCGAAACGGAGAGATAAAGAGAGAAACGGACCGAGAGAAAGAGAGTGCCAGGCACCAAGAAAGAGTGAGAGAGAGAGAAAGGGAGAGAGAGAGAGATAGAGAGAGAGAGAGAGAGAGAGAGAGAGAGAGAGAGAGAGACCCTGACCGTTCAGTACATGTACAGAAACAGAGGGAAGAGCGAAGGTGCACGTTAACATAGTGCTACATTAGACGGCGAAAAGGGGAGGGGGGGCAGATTCTTTTGGGAGGGGCAATGAAATCCGAGATAGACTTGCTCCCCTGAGGTTTACAGACTAATTAACGTATTGACACAAATGGATATCTACGGAAAGGCAATGAAAGCATTGTTGTAACAGTTTTTTTAAACCTGTCCAGTTCCAGCATAATTCCAACCAGGCCAATATTATGTAATTGAAAACACAAACATTACTCCTTATATCTAAGAATGACAAAGCTCTATCAGACATTTTTAGCAGTGGGGTCAGAAACTAAATGTTCTATCTGCTCTCTCAAAATCGTAAGATTGTTCGGAGTCGTTATCAAGATATTCAAAGATATGGATTCGAAAAAGCTTGACATGTTGTGAAACTCAAAATATTTGACGTCACTTTTCTCAAAACTAGGTACTGAGCAGATAGAACTTTGTAATTCTAGGGTGGCAATACGTGTGAACACAATGGACTGAATCACTTAGACGTTATAAATATAGTATGTTGTTTTGTTGGGTTTTTATTTTTTAATTTTAAGTTTGGATGAAGAGTAGAGTATGAAAACGATATCTACTTTTTAGAGGTTTCAGCGCACAATTTAGTCAACTCACAAGACACTTGTTGCCTGGGTTCTCGCGGCACCCCTCTTGTTTGAAGTCAAATTACACAAAACGTAAGATTATCTCCCCCTTTTTTATCAGGGCCAAAGTGGTGTAATTGTACAATTCAGAGAAAGGCTGTGATATTAACAGCAAAGGATTCTATCCTCCAACATGTGTTCGAGGCAATTCGAGATTTTAGAAGGAAGGCGTTCTAACTCCCTGTGCAGTCCGATGAAGAAAGAGCAACCTCCGGAGTTTTAAGGTTACATTTTCCTCTACAAACTTTTTTGTTACGGTTTTGGGTCAGAGCGACACTCCTTGTATTACAGCCAAAGCTTAAATAGAGTTTGCCAGCCAAAAATAACCCTTTCTCCGCTCTGCACTGCTCTACCAAATGCTAATACAGACGCTGAAGTGTTGCTCTTTCTGGTTAGCCACAGGTGGCAAATTGGAGGTTTGTATTTCTTCAGCCATTCAACTATTTTAGGAAGCTATGGAAGAGGAACAGAGAAGAAAAAGAAGGCTATATATCATAGATACCTTTGTCACGAGAAGAGAAGAATAGGGTGTGGGTATAGAAGGGGTAGGGTTGAAATGACAAAGTTGAAAGAGCGAAATTAGTGGGTGTAGGGGGATACATGCTCTGAATAATTCAGAGGAGGCGTACTAAAGATTCTGGAAGAGGGATGAGAGGTAGGGGGAAAGGGGGAAGGGTGTTCAGACAGACAAGCAGACAGACAGACAAACAGACAGACAGACAGACAGACAGACAGACAGACAGGGGGCGGCAGAGGAAAATGAGGGAGGGGGGGTTATGGCGGCGGAGGTTTGGGGTGCACTTTTTCATTCGGACCCACTCCTCATTTTACCCACTTCATGTCCCTACCTCCTCCCAGCCCTTGTTGTAGTTCCCGGCCTACCACAGTCAGTGAAATGACAGACGGGGTGTAAATTTACTTTATATATTCTCCTTGATCTTAGCCCACATCTTGTGCAAATGAAGTTCTGATGTAGAAAGCACAATGCCTCTGTGGCGCCTCCAGCAAGCACGCAAATTCCTTGTGGGTGTCTCCAGTCTATTGATGTTGACTCGTCCAAACATTACAGTGTTGAGGAGAAAAAGATTGTACCTACCATAAAGTTGCTTTTTCGGGAGAATAGGAGGACAATGCATTTATTCCGTGACTGTGACAGAAGTACTGGTTCACACATGACACGAATAATATTTCCTCTCTGGCCTAAAAAATGTTTGCTCATGGACCAATTCGAAAGTAATATGATAGCCACAGGAATATTTGTTGAGCCAATGAGATTAATTCAGTTCGATCCAATTTGGTGTATACGGCTTTTTGGCGTGAGGGGACAGAAAACGGGCTCAGTGCGCAGCGCGCCGCAGGTATATTTGGTCAATACCAACACACTCCACATGTCCTTCCTAAGTCTCTTTACTGTAGACTGTCACCCGCTGCCTAACACTAGTAGCAACACCATACGGGCGCAAAAAGTTTTATTTGCGAAGCACTCGTCGTCATAAAAATATGCGAGGATTACAACACGGGAGTGCCTCGTTTTTATTAGCTCAGAAGAGGACGTTAATTGGATGATACGACTGGATTTTTTTCACCTGCGCAAAATGATATGATTAGATCTCTGAGCATCTCTCTGTTTGCACGCGTGTAGTAAGGGTACCCAAGGGATGCGACTATAATAATAATATATCTAAGAAAAAAAGGTTCAAAGTGCGTATACTGTGTAATTCAGTCATTCAGCCATTTAGCCCCCAGTAAATGTAGGCTAAAATTATTTTTTTTTACTTTCGAAATGTGTATACTGTGTCATACAGTCATCCAGCCAACAAAAGTTGGTTAAAAAATGTTTTAATCGAAGTGCGTGTTGTGTGTCATCCGGCCCACATATTATGTAAGTTTTAATATATTTTTTTAAGGATAAAAAATTCAAAGTGCAGATATACTGTGTCAGCCAGTCGTCCAGGCCGCAAA